GCAGCGATACCATGTAGAAATTATGCTCTGCTCTACTAGGGTTCGATTTCCGTTAGGGGTTTTGGTAAGACCCAGATCCTGGATTAGACTATATTCTGGGGGCAAGGCAAACCCAAATTCAATGAAATAATGATAAGGCTCTTATAGAGGGTTAATATATATTAATAATTTGTCAAGCACTTTTTATCAGATATCTATTGGATCAAGAAGTAAAGTTGACCAGTCTGATTCAAAATAAACCTTAAATATGCAAAGTAAAATCAAAAAGCGCATTAGGAAAAATTGCCCTTTTATTAAATCGTATATGAGAGAAAAGGAATTGTCGGAACCAAGGATAATGAGAGACAAGATTGCTAAAATAGACTACGGTATCTAAAGCGAGATAAAGTGAATGGAATGCTCATAACGTTTAGGGTAGCGGAATTACAAGTTTCCAAGAGTAAATTAATCTAACTAGAGTGGAAGGAATAGAGCCGACATCAATCTCCGCATTCTATGCTAAAAGGGCTAACTGCGTATACTTTGACATAATTATCTGAAAAAAGAGATTTGGAGACTCAACCAGATGGAGTAAAGAATTCGTACAAGTTAGCAGACAGAAAAGAAATGATTCAGATAATTCCGGAGTCCTACACAAGGAAGTAATGAATAGAAGGAAAAAACAAGACATCCGAGGTGAAAGATTAGGAGATAAAGAAAATGTACTTAGAAGCAAACTGTGCACAATATAATCCTTTTAAATGAAAAGAATAAACGATTTCTAGAGAAGCCTAAAGAAATGCCTTGGACATGATTAGAGGAGTGTGATACATGTAGTGGAAATAATCACAAAAACAATGGATGTAGCCTCCAAACAAGTCGACTCAACTACCCTATATGCAACCAATCCATATATGCTATGCTTTATTTTAGTCTATAAACCAGCCCACCAGCTTTTCATCTGATTAACCGTCTGTTTGTCCCAGGAATATGCTGAAATATGATAGGCATAATGGACTTCCTTGGGAAAAATAAGCAATGTAACGATGCACAGATCGTGCATGTGCTGTGTGTGTATAATAGCTGATCAAATAAAACAAACTTGAAAAGTCTAAATTGACCCCGAAAAAATATTTTCGCTGAAAGGGCAGGTGTTAACTAGTGATGAAATCGAATTTAATAAGGATCACACGAGAGGCTAGACTGAAAGAAGTACCAGAGAAATTTGATATTTTTGTTGGCATGTGTTAATGTATGTATGTATACGCGGGGGCTGAGAATCGAAAGGGGGATAGAGGAAAGTATTTCTTCAGAAAGTCTTGCAAACGTGTGCAGTTACAAGATTGAAGGATTTAAAGCCCGTAGACACTGGAATTTTAGTTTAGCTATTAAATGAAATGACTGAAGCTTGGTAGTTTGTACAAGCAGTTTTAATATCGGCAAGCCTGCCGATGGAAAAGTATCATGAAAATAAACTGTACAAATGAAATTTGACGTGATGAACTTGGGAGATATTTTTAACTTCCGACATTCAAATAGGAAAGAATCTTCTGAAAAAAATAGCCAAAACTAATTTCATACGATCTACTACAGATGGCCGATGGGATAGTTTATGAAGCAGAGATTTGGAGTTGGTGTAATGTTATAAGAAAACTACTTTATTGTGTCCAACAAATGAAATATTCAAATAATGAAAAAGGAGAGAGAGCGAGAGTCTGATCAGAATAAGAAAGTGTAAGTAACTTCTTGATAAACTGTAAGCATTGGAGTGAAAGTAGCTCTATTGTCATGCAGACTCCTCATCCACTTGCCTCATAAGACAGAGAATTCGTCGACTTTGCATGAGGAAAAGTTAAATTATGGTGCTTTAAAATAAGTTGCGATTCGATTATTCTGTATTCAGAATAAAGTTGACCTCGTTTTCGCAACTTGATTGTATTGCTATAGAGACCTGAATGAACGCAACTGATCCAGAGTCCATAGAATCCATGATAATTTTTCGTGTCAGACCGTAGACCTGGTATATCATTTCCTTTGCATCGTGGAAGCATTGCTATTCTTGGCAGTACACTACAATTCGTCAAAGAGACAAGTGAAGTTGATCCTTTGGCCAACTGCCTGCTGAATACTTCTGAGACTAGGAGTTGAACGAACCGACTCGAGTTTGCCTTAGCAATGAGTACCCCAGAGAAAGAATATAAAGAAATATATGGGTCATAAAAAGCAGATGGTAAACGAGATATTAAGGAAATAAAATTGGGAATCAGGATGACCAAAATTGGACATGTCTGCCTTCCTGTAAACTAAGTAAAAGTTTACAACCGTCACTAATAAAATGGAATGTTTAGGTAATAAAGAAGGGAAAGACAACATTTTTAATCAGCCTGTCGACTTAACACGAGAAGGCTGATAAACTGGATTGCCCGGGAGTTTTTCGCATAAAATGCGGCAACTGTAAGCGGAAGAATATTGTTGAAACAGGAAGAATAATAAGCCTGTGAACAAAGGAAAATCAAAGGCTCTGCGAAAACATGTATACAGAAAGATCCGATAACGGAACAGATTGCATATATGAGACCTGAGATATATTGAAAAGTGACAGAAAGGCTGGCCACATATGGAGAAAATAGAAGAACACACAAGATTCTAGAAGGCATCGATATCCTGACTGAAGGAAACTAAGTGAGACTGGAAGAAGACAGAATCAAAAAAAACTTTACACATTACTTAAGCAAACTCATTGGAGATCATGGAGCAGCAAGATCTGCAAAAAAACGATTAGATCAAATAAATATTTTTTATTTAAGGAAAAGCAATCGCAAAGAGGCCATATACGAATTTTTGGAAATAAGGAAACGTACAGTGAGCCTAATCAAAACGAGTTAAACAAATATGACATTTGGGGATTGGCACACAAGAGACTAGGAGATAGGAAAGATATAGAATTTGCGTCATTGATAGAAACACGAGAGATACTTGTCTGCTAGTATATAAGTTTGATCATATTCTTGGTAGATGAAATAAAAGCTTGAACACGATATTTACCCGGTACACATACCAAATAGTGACAATCTAGACTTTAGCGGCCTATTTACTGAGGCCGGAGAATAAATATATTCTATGAAAGGCTTGAGGCAGTGTAGGGCACAACGCCTCGAGTAGCACGGATCGGATGGCAGTGATCGAGTGAAATCACTGAATCAGAAGGATAAGAGACGGGTCCTACGAGGCAAGAGGAAGAATCCGATAGAACCTGGAAGAGGATTGCGGACTTAAACTGCAAACTTGGATCAACACTCCCAGCACAGTAGGGTGGGGAAAGGAAGGGAGTCAACCAGCGGAGTGTGAAGGGCACATCTGAAATAGGTATAAGTAATATTCTAATCAAGTAAATCTATACAATTTAGAGGTCGAACTTGAGCATGAGAAAGTCGTAGACTTGGCATTAGGGAGAGAAGAGAGATACTTGGAGACCATTTCTAGTTGGCTATTACTAGATAAGTTTGATCATAGGCGTGGTCCATGAAGTAAAGACTTGATCACGAAATTGACTCGGTTCACTTACGGCCCAGTGATAAGGGAATCTGTAGCATCAAGTTAGGTTGTCATGCCAATAGAGAATCCAAACTTTAGGGGTTTTCTCAGTGATGCTGACGTATATGTGTTATGAAAGGCTTGAGACAGAGTGTAGAACATAACATCTTGCGTAGCACGAATACGGTGGCAGTGATAGGGTGAAATCATTGAAACAGGCAGATAAAGAAAAGATCCTACGGAGCAAGATAAGAGCTCTGATAGGACCCGAAGGGAGAGGATTGCA